TCCCCCCCAAACTTAACTCCCAACCAATGTGGGACTTTGGCATTTTGCCAAACTTCAACAGAGCTTACCCAATACGCACAGATTGTTCAGCCAAATGGTTCAAATTCCAGCAGAAATAAAACACTAGGTGATTTCTTTCTATATGCCTAAATCAATTTTATTAGGGCGATTTTCAACACCCGCCACAATACGCCTTGGGTGCCTCTCATTGATCACTATGTACATCCTTGGGTGCCTCTCCTAAGTGGATTTCTAAAGCTCACTTCACAATTTTGAAATTGACTACCATAAGTAAGGCGGTTAAGTTGAGCTAGAAGAAATGGGAGCAATAGAATCACATTATCTGATAAGGTGATACTTATATTTCTAGATGGTACTATACCTTTTTTGTCGGTTTGGGCCACAGTAAAAAATCTTCAATTAATTATTGTGATTATGGAAATCGTATCGTCTAAAGGCCATCACATATTCGTAAGTGCGTTGAGGCCAGATATCTAATTGCCAAAACTATGTCCTATCCAACTATAATTGTTAAAAGGCCGAAATTGCTTCCCTTATACCTTTCTTCCAGCAGTTATCACTCGGGTTTTAGAAGGGAAAAACCTCTCTCTCTATATATATATATATACACACACTAACTGCTGGAGCCCATTTTTCCTTTCATCGTTTTCAAAACGATGAAAGGAAAAATGGGCTCCAGATAGTATCTTGAAAAAAAGCTTGAACATATCATTCATGAAATTAAATATCATGAAATCCATGAGAAGACACTACTAAAATCATAAAAATCTTTCAAGACACAAAATCAGATATTAGAAAAGGAAAAGCTACAATGTCATGAAGATTTTGAGTTCTCTACTTCACTTACGAGAATAGCGATTAAGAGAATTTACAAAGAACGGGATCCCCTTACCAAGGTGGTGATGAAGCTTTGGATCGACAGTTTTAACAATTTGTGCGAGTGTACTGAGCTGAGTTTGCACTCCCATAGAACTTGTGGTGCACTTGAAATTTTCTCGCTGTTGAAATGAAAGTAGAGTGATTATACACAGTGGAAGGCATAATCACAGGAAACAATGAGCACAAAAGATTGCACAAATGGAAAGAAAATGTCAACTAATGGAACATAAAAATACATGTACAAGTTGACAACCCCTTTCAGGGTGGAGTGCAGGGTGTTTTACCTGAGCAAGGGAACCATTTTCAGAAAATAGATGTGCTTGAAATATGTTTATACGTTAACTGATGGTAGATCATTAAAGAAGAGCAATTCCAAGAATAACAATTCAGTAGAAGCTCAAACAATGATGTGACAGCAATGCCGCTTTTACTTTTTCCATTTGTCATTTGCTGTTGCAACTTGTATGTATGCGTATAATCACTAACCAATAACCATGGTAGAACATTAGAAACAATAGACATACCAATCGACGCATTGCACGCTCAAAGCACCAGAATGCATCTGCTTCACTCTCAAGCAGAATAACCATTGGAGAGCAAATATCACTCATTCCTGTTCACATAAAATGAGAGCAGGAGTTTATGAATGGCCTTAACAATATCAAAAGAGAATGCCTAATGCGACCATAATACCTTGAACATAGCCGATATCTTTATCCATCCAGGCATAGACAGCAAGTGTATCCCAAAGTTTTGCCTGATTAGCTTCATTCTCGTAAAATACAAGAGTACCATCCGTTCGAACAACATCCAGACCTAAATAAACATTGCAAGTTGTGATAGTTTCAGATATCATTTGGAAAATCAATTTATCCTGAAACATAACTTCCTTAGCCGGTCAAAGAAGTGGCTTATTGATACTTCAGATTCAAGTAATTTAAGCATAGCAGAACTTGGACACATGTGAAATCACCAAGATCAAGTTGATTTCTGTTTCTTCTATCATTAAAGATTACTAAAGTTCTTTCTAAATGTTTTCCTGTCAACAAAGTTCAAACACTCTAAACACATACCACATTAGAGTTGAGAGAGAGAAAAGATAGTAACTCCATCTGTCAAGTGAACAACTTTGAAAATGGAACTTAGCAATATGGTTGTTAAAAGCTTTAAAGCCTTGTACAATTGGAAGGTGTAAGGAGAGAATTGCCATAGCCTCTAGTCACTTATTTTATATCCTAATGTATGAAAAGTGAAAACCAGCATATGCTTTCTTGTTGTACTGTGAAATTCTTCATTCATATCAACAGAGCCTGCGGACAGGAAGTAGATAACTCGATTACCTAGCAAGTTAATTTTTTCAAAGTGATCTGCAAAAGCATCTACTTTTGTGCAAAAGCATGTGGAGTCACTCAGATGAGTTCCACTCTAAAAATATGATCGGATATGTGTTGGATTAATTAAATATAGGTATGATTACATTTTGGAGATTTCGCATAACATAGATTTCATTATCATTTTTCTAATACTTGCTATAGGAACAAATGGTAAAATGGTCCTTAATGTTTGGAGTAGATTCAGAATAATCTCTTAATTATACTCCTAACACTAACACATTTAATGAATTTTCAATACAAATACATATTCTGGACAAAAGCTACTAGATTCACGGGAACCCGCATCCGTTGAACTGAATCTGCCCCTGTTGATGTGACCATAAATCATATGGATTTAATAGTATAATGATCCTACTTACCCAACACAATGACATGCAACACGTTAATTCCACAAAAAATGTTTGTTCCACCATCCTAAATTTCTTCAACTTTTTTGTTTGTTTTTTTTTTTGTTTTTTGATATAGACATCGATATATCCAACCGTTTCTTTCCGAAATTTTTTAACTTGATATATATATAGTTCGATCTTCAAAATTTTTGCAATTGAACTCATTGTATTTGAAATTATATATTCAAATCTAATGACATGTACTTTGTTAAATTTTTTTTTTTTTGACTTCTTATGAAAATTTATACTCCTTTCCATAAAAAATATTAGTCAAAGCACGGAATCCTACCCCTACTAACCCTGTCCTGTGCCCCATATATAACGCATCGTTGGCCCTAGATATAATTCTTCCCTATACTTTTCGTCTTTCACACACAAAACAATAATTTAGATAATTAGTTAGTCTTAAATCTTATAAATTCTATCTGGAAAAGGATAACACGTACACGATAAGCATTGATAGTACTAAGTAGCTTTAGGACTTATCATAAATTAATTAATCCTTAAACCTTATTTTTCTATACATAAGCGCCCCAACTTGATTGCCATTAACAAACATGTTATTTCTCAATTAGTTTACGTTTTATACACAAATAGAATTTAAAGAAAAAAAATCAGATAATTTATAAGGTAATTATCCATAAATCTCAATAGTAAGTACTCATCCTTAACTCGGAGTAATATAGATATTCAAAAGTACAGTGAGTTAAGTTGTAAAAACAAAAAACAAAAAATTGAACTCATGATAAATTTTAGATTCTAAATCCGTATCCGATATATACCCATTGCTTGCTTTGACCATATATATATATATATATATATATATATATATATATATATATATATATAGATGGAAAATTTTAATAAGTATATATACATAATAAATCACCCCAAATTTCTTGTCTTAATTTGGGGATATGTTCAGTTGCTCGGAATGTAGGGAACTGGTTTTTTATATAGTGTGTGATAAATAAGATCGTCACGTACTTTAACCGTTGTGTGCATGGTGCATGCAATGTATGTATGATATGTGAAGAAAGACCCTGTTTTTTTTTATTTCCTATTCGGTGCTCAAGAACTTTAGTTAAGGATGAAAAAATCTTATTCATCCCAACACAACTCGTAGTGATCGATCAAAAACCATTGTATAATATTACCAACTTAGCATCACGTCAGGGGCGAAGCCACCTTTTGTCAAGGGTGATCAATTATCCCCCTTCGTCGAAATATTACGAAAAATTACATTGTTTATAAATATTAAACTTTAAATGTATATGACATATATTGAACTCTCTTTGCCGAATAAGTTTTTTATTTCTTTCAAGTCCGAACATCTTTAAAAAAAATCTGACTTCGTCAGCATGCTATAATTAATTCGAGTGTAGGGTTAGTCCTACCGTCAAATTAAATGATAGAGAGGAGCAGATGGTCCTTAATTATGGTCTCGTAGTAGGCTCATCTGTGGTAATATCAATATCAAACTTTCCTTTCCTTTCTTCCACAATTATTGAACCCATTTTTTGCAAATATTAATGCTTGTTTTTTTAGGTCGTCATTGTGTCCAAGATCCTGTCCAGTCCGTAATCAGTGCAGTTGCCATCTGCCTATTTTTTATTTTATTTTTTTTATTCGGTATTGAATGTTTGTATGACTTCGATCAATTGAAATTCGTGGTACATAAGATCCATTGAGATCTTTGATCAAAAGCGGGAAAATGCATAATTACTCTATACCCGAAATTTTAATTACACATTATTTTTTTTTTCGGGAATCCTATTAGCCCCCTAAACTTATTTTAAATGTAATTTTTTGCACCATTAACACTGACGTGGCAGAGTGTATGCATCTCACTCTCCCAGAAGCAAGAAAAAACGATTTTCAGATTCTTTTTTTTGTTCTTTTTTACCATTTTTTCTTACTTTTTTTTTCCTTTCTCTTTTTCTTTTTCTTTTTTTTCTTTTACTTTTTTTTTTTTTCATTTCTTGTCTAATTCCGGTGGATATTCATTCACCGACGACTTTTTCTAATCGTTTTTCTTTCATTTTTTTCTTTTCACACACAAATTAAACTCTCAAAAAGATCTATTCATAAGCAAAGCAAAATACACTCAGATTGGGGAGGGGGGGATTCATCATCGGAAAACCTTCCCACGCCGAAAAAAATAATGTATTGAAATTTTAACTGAATTTTTTTCTGAACTTATATTCGCATAAATTATACTTTCAAGAAAAGTTTATATATATATAATAAACACACTTAGATCGGGATAACCACACCACCATTTTATATCGCCAGTGACCAAAACAAAAAGAAAGAGAATGAAATAACCAAAAAAATGAGAATAATAAGAAATAAGAAAAAAAGGATAAGAAAAAGAAGAAAGAATAAAAAAAGTACTAAAAATACATGTGGGGGCGCGTGTAGCTCACCACTTGCCAAGAGTTTGGTTGTCAGCATTAAGGATGCAAATAATTACATTTAAAATAAGTTTAGGGGGTAATAGGATTCCCGCAAAGAAAAAATGTGTAGTTGGGCTTTCGGGTATAAGTCAGGGGGTAATTATGCATTTTCCCATTGAAAGCGGAAAGATATTAGTCATCCTCACAATCTTTAGTGGTCCATCTAATTAAATAAATGTTGAATTATTCATGTCTTAGTTATGATGTGGAGCTTACATATGTAAAAAGAGGGTAAGGATGACGACGACAACAACAATATATTCAATGTATTTTCATATAGTGGGTTAGGAAGAGTACGTAGTGTGTACGTCGACCTTACTCCTACCTTGTGATTATAGAGAAGTTGTTTCCAATAAACCTTCGGCTTAGGAAAACATAAGCTCAACAATTTGATTAAATGATAAGGAGCGCTTTACTTCACTTACTAGACCTATTCAAGGTGAATCTTGAATAGTCGGACATTATGCATCAAATCGTGCTAATTAATTTATTTAAAATAATTAAGTAATAAATTATGGTAGGAATAAATATTGACTTAGTCATGCTTTTCCCATCTTTACCATTTATTTGACAGTAACACTTACCAATTATTGCACACACATTGATCAATTGATAAACCTGAAAAGGACCAAGAAAATGCAATGTGTGGACCAAATTTGAGGTTTTTGATAGCCTGAAAATTCACTTTAATTTTCCAAGATTTGTTTTTTTTTTCTTTTTCTATACCATATTTACTCTTTTAAGTCTAATGTTTTTAGCCAAGCAGAACCCTGTTCGGACGAAAAATGATCGTCATTAATTTAGACGTGATGACAAAAATTACTTTGTATTTTCACGCACAATGATATTAAACGTGTTTGTTGGAATGATCAATAATTAAAATGTTCCCTAAAGTTTCTTCCAATATATATATGGTGGATTCTTCATAATACATAAAGAAATATGAAGACGCATAACATGTAGAAATGACACCAGGTCACCACTCTAAAGGGCTGCTATTTAGGAATTAGCTAGTGCACTCTGAATTTTAATTTTTTTGTTTAATTTTTTAGGACGAAAAATATCTTGAATTGTCGTGAAATTAAAATTTTTTATTTAAAATTTCTGGACAAAATAAGTACTGGCTAATCACTAAATAACAACCTTAAAAATGGCTATATGTGCACTTGCCCCCACATACGCAGGCATATTATTATTAAAGTACTCTTTGAATGTTAGCCATATTTGTATTTGTATATAAAGCTAAACTAGTATACATATTTTCAACTACATATTATTCCATTGGGTCCTGAATCTCAACCACTTGCTAAGTTTCCATATAAAAAAGATATTGCAAAATCCTAAAATTCCAGTTTTGGGTAGAGTTATATTGGTATGGAAATTGGATCATTATTAATTAGCTGCCAAAGGTACTTGTTGTCATATCGTGCTATAAATTAAGTATAAGTTGGACACGAAATACTAACTAAATTATTACTAAGTCTCTTAAATGGAAAGTAGTTGTTGCAATGAAGTATGCACAAATTCGACAAGGAATATTAACTAAGCTACTTTTTAAAGTTTTACAATTTGGGTATTTTTATCATTTTTGTTGTCAGTACTTTTTTTTCTACAATATCTTCTTTATAGTTTTTTTTTTTACTATTGTTTTTTCTAAACTTATTTTGAAAATGTTTTTCTTTAGCCGAGAGTCTATCGAAAATAGCTTTTTTACGTCATGCAAGATAGTAATAAGGTCTGTGTAAATCTACCCTTCCAAACCCACTTGTGAGATCACACTGGTATATTATTGGACTGGCTTTTTGCTTATGATCACTTTGTTGCACAAGTATTACTTACGAAGTAAGTAATGCACATTATTTACATGGTTATTGCGTATATACCATCAGGGGCGGATCTCTATAACCTCAATTATGGGGAACGTAAATCCATGGTCCTTCCGCCAAACTAGGTATTTTACGTATGTACTAGAATTGGTCCAATATTATGTGTTGGCACCATGCTCCATAAAGGTTGAATGGTGCACTTGGTTCAATACTTAATTATTAGGATCAATTCTCACTTTATACTTGTTCCTCCTCATTTTTTT